CTTTATTTATTATTATTTATTATTATTTTTACTCTTTATTCTTTATTTATTATTATTTATTATTATTTTTACTCTTTATTCTTTATTTATTATTATTTATTATTATTGTTCCTCTTTACTCTTTATTTATTATTATTTATTATTATTGTTCCTCTTTATTCTTTATTTATTATTATTTATTATTATTTTTACTCTTTATTCTTTATTTATTATTATTATTACTCTTAATTCTTTATTTATTATTATTTATTATTATTGTTACTCTTTACTTTTTACTCTGTATTATTGATTATTCTTTACTCTTTATTTATTATTATTTATTATTATTGTTACTCCTTATTCTTTATTTATTATTATTTATTATTATTTTTACTCTTTATTCTTTATTTATTATTATTTATTATTATTGTTACTCTTTATTATTTATTATTATTGTTACTCCTTATTCTTTATTTATTATTATTTATTATTATTGTTCCTCTTTATTATTATTTATTATTATTGTTACTCTTTACTCTGTATTATTGATTATTCTTTACTCTTTATTTATTATTATTTTTACTCTTTATTCTTCCTCTTGACTCTTTATTTGGTTTCCAGCTTTCAGACCCTTCTCTCTCTCTCTCTCTCTCTCTTTTGCTCGGCCGTTTCTCCGCAGAAACTGTCAGTAAAAACAGACGGAGGATTACTGTGGATGCTGCACTCTGATTGGCTGACGGCTTCTCAGCAGCACACAGAGGTTTCAGGAAGTCAGTGGGACACGGGGAGGAGGATTAGACGGCAGGGATATTGTTTTATACAGAAAAGGTTTTATTAATCACTGAAACTGTAAAAGTCTGAATCATGTTCACCCAGATTTTGTTTCTAATCTCTGGGATTAACTCAGCGGCACAGAAACGCTGACCTTTTGCTCTCGTTGTGTAAAAAGTGATGAATGAATGAAGGAGGTCGTGAGTCTTTTACCGACACAAACTTCGGTCTTTGACGACTGTTTCTGTTTCTGTTCTCCTTTAAGTCTCTGAATCTGAACAACACTTCACTCTGTCATGTTTCACCTCCTCCTCCTCCTCCTCCTCTTCCTCCTCGTCTTCGTCGTGTTTATCTCTCACTGTTTCACTTTGACTCCTCGTGTCCTGTTTCCTTCACGGTCTCTGCTGACTGACGGGGATTTCTGCAGCGCTGCGTTTGCTCGATCACATCTCTTCATCTCTAAACGCTCGCTCACCTTTCAGAGATTTCCTCAGCGACGTTTTTAAAGATGAATCAGCTGTTCAATCTTTACGACTCAGTTAACCGAGTTCAGAGGAGAGAACGCCCTTTTCTCTCTCGCTCGCCCTGATTCTCTTTCCTCCTCCGGGGGTTTTTCCCTCGGGGTCTGTCTGAGTTAACTTTGAAGTTTCTAACCGTGAGAAAATAAATTTATCAAGCGTGACAGAAAACCACTGACTCTTCAGATCGAGTCGCAGCAAAGTGAGACGATGAGGATGAACGTGTGACAGGAAGGAGGACAGGTGAAGACTAAACCGTTCGACCCCCCAGGTGTGTTCCCCACAGAGGACACAGTGTGGGTGGGAGCCGTGGACGTGTTCAGACCTGAGCGAAAACAAACACAGATTCATTATTATTATTATTATACTTATTATTATTATTATACTTATTATTATAATTATTATTATTATTATTATTATTATTATTATTATTTTTATTATAATAATAATAATAATAATAATAATTATTATTATTATTATTATTATTATATTTATAATAATAATAACAATAATAATAATAATAATTATTATTATTATTATTGTTATTGTTATTATTATTATTATTATTATTATTATTATTATTATTATTATTATTATTAGGGTCATGTCCGTCATTCAAACTTTCTTTATACTGTAAATGTCTGAGTTGGTAAAATAAAAACTTTATTTATTATTTTCAATATGAGTCAATGACTCTGACACCTTTTTTCTACAGCTTCTAGTGTAAACACCTCTGTGTGTGTGTGTGTGTGTGTGTGTGTGTGTGTGAGTGTGTGTGTGTGTGTGTGTGTGTGTATGTGTGTGTATGTGTGTGTGATAGTAAAGTCTCTCTCTCTCTCTAACTGAATCAGTTTCAGCTGATTAATAAAACATGTTGGAACAGAAACTCTGAAGTTGACTCCTGTGAGAAAATCTTCTCAGATTCAGAGTTAAAAAAAAACAGCAGGACGGTTGATTTCCCTGTTTTTTTTCTCCCTGTCATGACACGCCCGCTCTCGCCTGCTCTCGCCCGCTCTCGCCTGCTCTCGCCCGCTCTCCTCTCTGCTGACGATGAAGAATCGTTAATGAGACTCTGTTTGTTTTTTACCTCCAGTCTTTTCTAACCTTCGTTAAAATCGTCTGTTTTTCCTCCTCCAAGAGTTCCTGAAACCTTAAATCTCCTTTTTTAGAGCTGGTTTCTGTCTCCGCTCTCAAACACAGGAGTCAAAACTGTCTCTGTGACAGGTGACGTGTTTAACCAGAGAGGATGCTGGGAGATTTTGTCCTCAGACCACAGATCCGCTCGTTTTCTGTTTCTTCAGTCCTGAGATCTAAACTTTAAAACAGCCGAGAGTTTGAACTAAAAACCTGAAGAGAAAACCAGATCATTGATCATCAGGAATTTATCAGGAATTTATGAGTGAAGGAGACCCTGAGATCAGTGTGACAACATGATGACCTTTGACCTTCACCACCTACAGGGTCAATTTACCTCCAAACTGAAGAAATCCGAGTTTGTTCATCATCAGATTTAATAAAAAACACGGATCTGCAGACCTGATTCCTCTGTCCACCTGAACGCTGTGACTCTTTAACTTTTTTACTCTTAAACTCTTTAACTCCTTAACTCTTTAACTCTTTAACTCTTTAACTCTTTTGTTCTTTAACTCTTTTACTCTTTAACTCTTTAACTCTTTAACTCTTTTACTCTTTAACTTTTTTACTCTTTAACTCCTAAACTCTTTAACTCTTTAACTCCTAAACTCTTTAACTCTTTTGTTCTTTAACTCTTTAACTCTTTAACTCTTTAACTCTTTAACTTTTTAACTCTTTTACTTTTTAACTCTTTTATTATTAACTCTTTAACTCCTAAACTCTTTAACTCTTTTGTTCTTTAACTCTTTAACTCTTTTACTCTTTAACTCTTTAACTCTTTAACTCTTTTACTCTTTAACTTTTTTACTCTTTAACTCCTAAACTCTTTAACTCTTTAACTCCTAAACTCTTTAACTCTTTTGTTCTTTAACTCTTTAACTCTTAAACTCTTTAACTCCTAAACTCTTTAACTCTTTCACTTTTAGTTCTTTAACTTTTTAAGTCTTTAACTCTTTTGTTCTCAAACTCTTTAACTCTCAGACTCTTTAACTCTTTTGTTCTTTAACTCTCAGACTCTTTAACTCTCAGAGTGTTGTTTTGGGACGTCTCTCCTCATCCTCGTGTGTTTTTCTCTCCTCCTCCTCCTCCTCCTCCTCCTCCTCCTCCTCCTCCTCCGTCTCCAGACTACCAGCGGTTGATGACGGTGGCTGAAGGCATCACCACGCTCTTGTTTCCCTTCCAGTGGCAGCACGTCTACGTCCCCATCCTGCCCGCCTCTCTTCTCCACTTCCTGGACGCTCCTGTCCCCTACCTGATGGGTCTTCAGTCCAAAGACGGGACGGACCGCTCCAAACTGGAGCTTCCTCAGGAGGTAAGAAGTCCGTGTTCTTCCACAGATGTCTGAGGGTCGAGATTTTAGAGTTTAGATCCACGTTAGTGTCAGGAGATCCGGTCCATCTTTGGTTCTGGTGTCAATCAAACAGGTTTTGAAGAGACACGAATCAGAACTCTGGACTCTGGACTCTGGACTCTGGACTTTAAACAGAAACTCTCTAAACAACCAGAGAGGATTTAGAATTTTGTTTGTCTGCAACTTGACCTGAAGGCGTCCTGGAGAGTCTGAGGTGGATCTGGAGAGTCTGAGGAGGATCTGGAGAGTCTGGAGTGGATCTGAAGAGGATCTGGAGAGTCTGAGGTGGATCTGGAGAGTCTGAGGAGGATCTGGAGAGTCTGGAGTGGATCTGGCCCCTCTTTTCTTCTTCTGTGTTTCGGTGCCGACACTGACGGCGTCTGTCTGGTATTTGGCGCCCGCCGTGTGTTCCTGGTTGTGTGGCGCTCTGTGCGCTCGCTGTATTCATGTGTTAAAGCGAGATAAGACCCCAACAAAGCCCCACATCCCGACTCGTCAGCTTCCGGCTCTGCTCACATCCCCAGACTCCCAGCGCTCGTTAATCCGGAAAATTCTGTGTGGATGTTAATGATGGCAGCCGCCACAGAACGCCGCCGCTGCCCCCCAAACGGAGCCCCCCCCCGCCCGTGTTTGTGAACGAGGCTTTGAAGTGGAGGTGACCCAGAAACGGCGGCGGATGATGAAGGAGCGGCCTGAAGCAGAATCTGGATGTAATGAAGCTCTGCCTTTTTGAACCCGTCTCCTCTGTGGACCGCCGTCACGTCGAATCATAACGAGCTGCAGACGAGACGACGAGACGGTCAGCGTTAGAGACGTCAACGTTCTCGTCTCTGTTTGTGCACAAGAACAAAAAAAACCTCAGCGTCAGTCTTCAGGGTCTGTTTTCAGGTCGGGTTCAGAGGTCACCACGTTATGAAGCGTGGCGTTCGTTCAGACGGGCGCTGACGTAGATCTGAGCCCACGGTTCATCAGCTGATCAGTGGAAACCTCTCTGGACACGGGCGCTTCACTGCGGCGTTCCCCTCGGCGGGATGAAGAAAGGATCATCAGGAGTCTTTGCTGCTGCTCCTCCTGCCTGGACTCCTGAAGGAGCAGCGAGGAGGTGGAGGAGCAGAGCCGAACTAAACCTTTAGAGCGTCGGCCGACCGCCGTTTTTGACCATCAGGTTGTCCAGCTGAGAGACGAAGGTCTGATCGAGTGTCTTCAGCTGATCTGAGGAAGATTTCTTCATCAAAGTACCAAGAAAGTGGAGCTTTAGCGCCCTCTTCTGTTTGCAGGGGGGTTTGCAGAGACATAGAGGATTCATATTCAGATGGGGCGGCAGCAGCTCAGGAGGTAGAGCGGTCGTCCAATAACCGGAAGGTTGGCGGTTCGATTCCCCCCTAATCCAAGTCTGTCCGTTGTGTCCTTGATCAGGACACTAACCCACCTCCCTCCCAGTGTGTGTCCTCCACTGGTGTGTGACTGTGAGTGTTGTGTGGTGGTGGTCGGAGAGACCGTAGGCGCAGAATGGCAGCCATGTTTCCGTCAGTCTGCCCCAGGTCAGCTGTGACTACTAAGTTAGTTTACCACCAAAGTGTGACTGTGTGAGTGAATGAATGAATGAATGAATGAATGAATGAATGATGGATCCAAAGAGCTTTGAGGGTCTCCCCTCTCCCCGCACACACAAACACACACAAACACGCACACACAAACACACACAAACACACACACACAAACACACACACACACGTGTTTCTGCGGTCCGTGTCGCTCGGTTGGTTGAAGTCAGAATGACGACTCAGAAGAGGAACTCTGACAAACTCGTGAACGCCGTTTATTTCCTGATGAAACTCAAAACTACGGAAACAGAAGAGAGTCAGTTTTTGATGAACTCGTGTCGCTCCTGAAAATATTCGTCATTTCTACGATGTTGGGATTCCGATCCTGTAAAGCGGTTCAAAATCCGGTTTTAATCCTGGATGAGAGAGTGAGGGAAACTCGGCTGTTATTGACCCACATCCTCGCCGCCGCCGCCGCTGCTGCAGGGCCTGAAAAAACGAGGATTCTGGGAAAATTGGAGCTAAAAGGACTTTTCTGTTTCAGGATGAAACTCTGACCGATCAGCAGAGCAGGTTTGAGGAGGAAGGAAACGTTTTCTCTCCTCACTGACTTCCTCACTCTCTTTCTGTTTCCTGTTGTCGTCCCGGTAACAGACGGCGTTTCCTGGTGGACGTTCAGGATCCGTTCTCCTAAAGTTCACGGACGAGTTTGTTAAAGACGAGTTTGATTTTCATCGTTTTATTTCAACTTCATTCTGATATTAAACGCTCAGTTTCTGTCTTATAGAAACATGATCTGGATCTGCTGACTCCGCCCCTCTGATGGCGTTCTAATCTTTTCTTCTCTCGTAGGCGAATCTGTGTTTCGTGGACATCGATAACCACGCCATCGAGCTTCCTGAGGACTTCCCCCATTTTCCTAACCAGTCTGAGTTCGTCCAGGAGCTCGGCGAGGTCCTGCTCAGCTTCGGCGTTTCGGCGAACACCGGGGTCCCTCCGCGGATACGCACACCCGGCAGCGCCCCCGGCAGCGCCCCCTCCACGCCGGGCCGGGAGCGCCGAACGGCTGCTCTCCGTCAGCTGGAGGATGACGGGCGTAACGGAAACCTGGCGGGCGAGGAGCTGGCTGTGCTGGAGCTGCTGCAGGGAAACGCCACGCTGGAGAGGCTGCAGGCGCTGACCAAACGCACCGGGGTTACGGTGGCTCGGGTGGACGCCCTGAGAGCCGGGGTCAAAGGTCAGAGCACTGAGGGTCAAGGTGGACGGACTGCAGCTGAAGAGGAGGAGCTGAGGAACGCCAAACTGAACGTGCAGCTGAGGGAGGTGTTCGCCAGCCGCTTCACCGCCATGTTCGCCGACTACGAATCCTTCGTCATCCAGAGCGCGCCGAACCTCGAGGCCTGGCTGACCAACCGGGAGCAGATGCACAACTTCGACAAGGTGTGTGTGTGTGTGTGTGTGTGTGTGTGTGTGTGTGTGTGTGTGTGTGTGTGTGTGTGTGTGTGTGTGTGTGTGTGTGTGTGTGTGTGTGTGTGTGTGTGTGTGTGTGGGGGGTGTTCTGGTTTTTAACTTCCTGTTTACGTTGACCTGTGACCTCCTGAATTGTTGAGATTATTTGAATATATTTGAGAAACAGGAGGAAAAAAAACGAGTTTAATTTGTTTTTACAGATAATTTATTAATATTTTCATTATAAAAATATTTTATGTAAAAAATGTTAAATTAAAATTATTAATATTTTTTTCAAATAAAATGTTAAAAAAGTTTTAATAATATTTTAATGAATGTTTGAGTAAAAAGTAAACTCTCACAGTTTCACTCAGAACAGAAACGTTTGACTCCGCCCCCTCACACTTTTGTTCCGTCTCTGTTTTTTTAAATCTCTGTTATTGTTTAATGACCGTGAAAAAGCCGAGGATTCTGGGTATTTTGGCGTTGTTTAACGATGGTTGGTGGCTCTCTCTTCTCGTTCTTCCCTCAGGCCTCCTTCCTGTCCGACCAGCCGGAGCCGTACCTGCCGTTCCTCTCCCACTTCATCGAGACGCAAATGTTCGCCACTTTCATCGACAACAAGATCATGTCTCAGTGGGAGGAGAAGGAGCCGCTGCTCCGAGTCTTCGACGCACGCATCGAAAAAGCTCGCCTCTACAACGTCCGCGCTCCCAGCCTCCGATCCTCCAGCTACCAGAGGTGCTCCGTCCTCAAGGAAGCCGGTAAGAGAAACGCCAACGGGGTCTGAGCGCCGTGACGGCGGGACCCCGGGGTCCAGATACCTCAGAGCGAAAACCGTCATGGACCTCCTGACGACTCAGAGACCAACGAGACGTTCAGACGAAGTTCATTCAGAGAATCACTGAAAACACAGAAAAGACAAATAAAAACAATGAAGCTCTTCATCTGAAACGTCACTGAGTAGACCTTTAAACACTCAGTAAGAGGATCACAGGGGGGCCGTCTGTCCGTCCGTCTGTCCGTCTGTCGCCATTTAAAGGATCGCCATCGTCCATTAGCAGAGGTCAGACTGTATTTACCTGCTACATAAAAAATACACAAACACTCTGTAGTCTCCTCCTCCTCTCTCCTCTCCTCCTCCTCTCCTCCTCCTGTCTCTCCTCCTCCTCCTCTCTCCTCTCTCCTCCTCCTCTTTTCTCCTCTCCTCCTCCTCCTCCTCTCTCCTCTCTCCTCCTCTCTCCTCTCTCTCCTCCTCCTCTTCTCTCTTCTCTCCTCCTCTCTCCTCTCCTCCTCCTCCTCTCTCCTCCTCCTCCTCCTCCGTCGCCCTCGATCAGCTGTTCCTCTCCTGTTATTCTGTCACGCCTCCTCTGACCCTCACTTCGGCGCTCTCGTGTCCACTGCCGCCGTGTAAAGCTCTAATTGTTGAGGGTGAGGTCATTCGTGGGCGGCGATGCGTTCAGGTTCACAATCACTCAGACAAAAGGCAGCGGCGCCCTCCTCGCCTGCACACCTGTCTGTCTTCCTCTGTGGCGTCTCGCTCCTCTGCCTTCGCTCGCCGCTCGGCGTTTGCTGCAGAGCTGGGATTAACGCTGCAGCTCCTGTCAGACCCGAAGAAGTTCAGAGGAAGAGCGAGGAGACGAAACCCAGACGGACGGACAAACAGAGCGTCGCTGACAGACGTCTGTTTTCTCCGTTATTTGGAAACAGACTCGCCGCTGTAAAGATCTCTGCGTTCTCATTGGTCGTCCTCAGATCTCTGCGTTCTCATTGGTCGTCCTCAGATCTCTGCGTTCTCATTGGTCGTCCTCAGCAGGTTACAGGGTTACTTGTAGGAGTTTAACGCCAACACTCACAGAGAGAAAAACATTTTAGGGTTTTAATGTCGGTTAAAGTTGTGAGAGAGAGAGAGAGAGAGAGACGCTCCCTCACTTCTCCTCTTGGCCTCTCATAGTTGATCGGAGTCTCAGTTCAATCATCAGATTATCATAAATTAAAGATTCTGTAGGAGAAAATAAGGTCGTCATGGTAACAGAGTCAGACTTTCTGGGGTTAACGTGATCATCTGTGTTTGTGCTGCAGCTCAGGCCATCGAGCAGCGTCTCCTGAAGATCGACCACACGGCCATCCATCCTCACCTGCTGGACATGAAGATCGGTCAGGGACGGTTCGAGCTGGGCTTCTTCCCCAAACTGCAGGCTGACGTCCTCAACACGGGGCCGAGCAACAACAAGTGAGTCAGAGAACGAAACGACTGACCAGACAAAGTCTGATTCCACATCTCTGCAGTTTCACTCAAACATGTTTAAACTCAGATCAGGTCCTGGTTTATTGTCTACAGTGTTAGTTCAGGCAGGCCACAAAGTTCAGCTCTGATATCAGCTGACAGCTCAGAGGGTTATCCTCCATGAGTCTGGATCTGGATCTGCTGAGCTACTCGGCTCCTCAATCGTACTGAAGGGTTGATTGAACAATAACAATAATGATAATAATTGATGATAACAATAATAATGATAATAATAATTAATTTTAATAATAATAATAATAATAATAATAATAATAATAATAATAATAATAATTAATTATAATAATTAATTATAATAATAGTAATAACAATAATAATAATGATGATAATAATAATAATTATTAATTATAATTAATAATAATAATAATGATAATAATAATAATGATAATAATGATAATAATAACAACAATAATAATAATAATAATAATAATTAATGATAAAAATGACAATAATAATGATAATTATAATAACAACAACTGCTTCTACTATTATTAAAAATAAAGTAGTAAAATATAAAAATGATATTAACAGTAATAATGACGTTGATGATAATGTTAATAAAAATATAAATAATGATCATATTTTTAATAATAATAGTGATATTAAATAAACGTGTCCCGGTGGGTTGCAGGTGGTCTCACAGAACTTCAACACCTCAGCGAAGGAAAGAGCGACACCGACAACAATCAGAGCACCTGAACCTGGACAATGACCTGAAAGAGGTGACAAAAACCGATCACATGACCCTCAGCCGGGTCTTTGTCCTTTTCTCTTTCTTTTCTGCACTTGTTTGTTTTCTGTCTTCGTCTTCATGTCTTCATATTTCTGTTCTTTTTGTTTCTTTTCATCCTTCCTCTGCATGTCGTCTCTGTTTTCTTTCCCTTCTCTCTTTGGTTTCTGTCCTCTCCTGCACGCCGCTCGCCCGCTCGCTCGCTCGCTCGCTCGCTCGTCTGTCCTGTGCTGGTTGGTTGGGTTGGGTTCTGCTTGCGTCGTGGTCGTCCCCCTCGTCTTCCTCCTCCTCCTCCTCCTCCTCGGCAGGTGGAGGGATGTCTGGTCCTGCAGAACTCTATGGCATTTTGGGAGTGGGACAAAGCGTCCCCTCTGCCCCTCAAACCGCCTAAAAAATCGGCGTCTGCGTCCTGCCTGGTAGGTGGAGGAGCTGTTTGTGTCACAGACCCCGTCTTGCAGCCCTCCCTCCACCCATGCTCCCATTTCCACCACCCACATTTTCCCCACTATGACGGGACTCTGTGAGCACCATCAGGTCACGTGTTTCTTAGTAAACTCCAGTTGTCCTCATTCTTGGCATGTTGTTGATTTAGTCTGAGAGGGCGGAGCTAGAATAAAGTCACCTGGTCGTTACTCAGAAGAGAGACGGCAGAAGTTTTTACTTTTTATACCCCTAATTATGCCAAAGGCGTTAATACAACTGGAACAGGTGAGATGATCAATAGAGAAATAAGCTTTCAACATTTTAATATGGAGCTCTATGGGGATTGACTCACCTGTGGAGTCGACCTCTAGTGGACATTTAAAGAACTGCAGGTTTTGGCGCCTGTGGTTTGTCCATCTCAGTTTGTTTGTTTGTTTGTTTGTAGTTCAGTCAGAAACTCTGTCATCAAAATAATCAATCAGCCAACAAGTAATAATTGATCTGGAGGCTAAAACCCGGGGAAGGGAGAGCACACCTGACACCTGTGCTCTCACCAGGAGCCAAGGCAGGGCGCCAAGGCAGGGCGCCAGACAGGGCGGAGCCAAGGCAGGGCGCCAGACAGGGCGGAGCCAAGGCAGGGCATCTAGGCAGGGCGAGCAGCAGTAGAGAGCTGTGAGGTGAAGCAGGAGGAGCTTCAGCTTCACTACAAACAACTTTATTATTATCCTTAATTATTATTATTATTATGTTAATTATTATTATAACCAACATTTTATGGGTCATCAGCTGTTCCCAACACCAGCTCCTCTCCTGCCTCACTCCTCTCCCCTCCTCTCTCCTCCCCTCTCACTCCTCTCTCCTCTATCTCCTCTCTCTCCTCTCCCTCCTCTCCCTCCTCTCCTCTCTCTCCTCTCTCCCTCTCACTCCCCTCCTCTCTCTCCTCTCTCCTCTCTCTCCTCTCACTCCTCTCCCCTCCTCTCTCCTCTCTCCCCTCCTCTCTCCTCTCTCCTCTCCTCTCACTCCTCTCCTCTCTCCTCTCCTCTCTCTCCCCTCCTCTCTCTCCTCTCTCCTCCCCTCTCTCTCCTCTCTCCTCTCTCTCCTCTCCCCTCCTCACTCCTCTCTCCTCTCTCCTCTCTCCTCTCCTCTCCTCTCACTCCTCTCCCCTCTCTCCTCTCCCTCCTCTCCCTCCTCTCTCCTCTCACTCCCCTCCTCTCTCTCCTTCCCTCTCCCTCCTCTCCTCTCTCCTCTCTCCTCTCACTCCTCTCCTCTCTCTCCTCTCCCCTCCTCTCTCCTCTCACTCCTCACTCCTCTCCCCTCCTCTCCCTCCCCCTCCTCTCCCTCCTCTCCTCTCCCTCCTCCCTGGTGGTTTCAGAAACTCTCTGATTGTCCCTTTAATCAGCTGTTAGAGGTGTTTGTTTTTACAGAGGTGTATTAATTTGTATTTGTGTGTTCATTCTTGTGCGTACCACTCTTTGTTATGTAGAGGTGAGAACTGAATCTAAAACACAGCAGTTGTGTTGTTCAGTTGTGTGTAGTTGTCTGACTTTGTAAAGTAAACTGTCCGATCATTTTTTATTCTTAATCAGTTTCAGGTTTGATTTAAACACAAAATCAGATTAAATTCTCTGTTTTTACCTAAAAGAAGAGAAAGAAAAGGTCAAGCCTCTCCGTTCGGTCTGGTGTTTCTGATCAGTGTTGGTTTTTCCGTCTGGTCCACAGAAGTTCATGCAGGAGGCCCGCAGCCTGCAGAAGAACCTGCGTCAGCCCAAACTGTCGGACCTGTCCCCGGCCGTCATCGCTCAGACCAACTGGAAGTTCGTGGAGGGGCTGCTGAAGGAGTGTCGCATGAAGGTGAAGAACAAAACCAGGACATGTCAGAGAACGGCGGTTCAGTCATCATGTGACCTCCTGACAGGGCGGGTCAGTCATCATGTGACCTCCTGACAGGGCGGTTCAGTCATCATGTGACCTCCTGACAGGGCGGTTCAGTCACCACAGTTACGCTCATGTCTCATCAGAACGATAATCCTCCCGTCTGAGTTCAGCTCCGTTTATTTATAAATAAGAGAAAAAGAAATTCTGTAAAGTTCCCTGAACTCAGAGGGAGGAACATCTGGATCAGTCAGTTTAAACAACAGTCAGTCAAACCTTCTCACTCCTCCGGCTGCAGAAGATGCGATCACCTCAGATTCATGTCAGATCTCCTAAAGAGATCTCCTCAGTCTGACCTCCTCAGTCTGACCTCCTCTCTGGTTCCTGTGTGACCTGCAGACAAAGCGGATGCTGGTGGAGAAGA